ATCAAATTAACTCTTATTCTCATAAAAATGTTTATAATTTTCTTCATGATCATATATCGTGTGTTGATTAGTTTAAGTTTAATTAGTAAATGTTAGTTTATTAAATATGCATTTTATGCTTGTAAAATTATTCAAAATAGCTTGAAAACTTGTGATATTATCTCTTAGAGGAATGAATATTAATAATACTTGTGTGTTATGCAACAGTGATTTAGAGACCCATGATCATCTTCTCTTTGAATGTTCTTTTTCTCAATCTCTCTTAAATAAGTGTGTCCTATGTTAATTTCTTTATTGCTCCTAATATTTCTTAAGTTTTATATCATTTTGATAATATTTCTTGCAAAATTCATAAAAGATTCCATCTTTTGGCTATGCAATTTGCCGCTTATCATATTTAATTGGAAAAAAATTCAAGAATTTTCAGAAATACTTATTCCTCTTTAGATAATCTTACTTATTATACCCACTGGGTGATTATAAATAATAGTAAGAATAAAAAATTTTAAAAAATATTCCTCATTTTATTAGAAATTTTTATAATCTTTAGTTGTTTGTGTTGTTTGAGAATTGGCACTTCTTTAATGTGGGACTATGTTTTTATTTTGTATCAAATTTTTTTATTTTATCAGTTTATCTCGAGTTGTATTGTGCGTTTGTATTTTTGCTCATGTTTTACGTATATGGGCACTTTGTTATAACTTTGAGTTTTGTCGTTCCTTGATAATCTATCATGATTTACCCATCTATTTTGTTTGATTAATTAAACTTGGATGGAATTCTATTTCAACCATTTGATGAAGTTTAAAATTGTATTTGAGTTACTTGTTTTAGTTATTCTATGATATCTAGTATGTGGGTTTTTGAGGTTTTGTGCACTTCATCTTAACCTAGTTGTCAGATCTGTTTGCCTGAGAGAATTGTTGTTTGAACAATTGATTGGGACTTTGCTTTCAATGAACCTGGATGGATTTCTTTTTTTATGGATCTGAGTTTGGCAGAGCTCTTACTTTTATTATTATTTATATATTCCTTTCTATTTTTTTTTATTACGATGGTTTTTTTTTTTCTTTTGCAGTGATTTAATTTTGTTTGAGATATTTATATCTTCCTTTTTATTTTTTTTTATTACGATGGTTTTTTTTCTTTTGCAGTGATTTAATTTTGTTTGAGGCTACTACTTGTGTTGGCTCTCTTTAGTTTTGGATCTTCTATAATGTTTTCAGCTTTGGTTCTAATTTTTTTTTATCCTCTATTTTTTTTGGAGCTTTTGGATTTGGCTTATTTTGGTTCTCTTGATTTTTTTGTTTATTTTGCTTTTTCAGATCTTTTTAGATTTGATAGTAATTTTTTGGGCCTCTTGTTTTACTCGTATTGGTTTTGTAGGTTCTCATGATGCTGATTTGAGAAGATCTTTTTTTTCTTGATATTTGGAGCTTTATTTATAGGATGTTGTTTGGATTATTACTGATTGTTGGTTATATGGTTGCTAATTCGAGAAGATGTTGATGTTCATTTGAATGGTTGGACTTTTATATAGAGAATGATGCCTGAAAATGTTCTTGTTTGGGGAGCCTTCTTTTGAAGTTGTTGTTCGAAGATACTGTGGTTTGGTAGTTTTGTGAGTAATTATTTTGAGGAGATGTTCCAATTTTTTCTTTAACCTTGGAGATTTGGTATGTAGTAAATGTTTGAGTGGAGGCTGCAGATTCCTTTTTGTAAATCTATTTTATATTGTTTGAAGTTTGTTATTATGTATATGAGTGATTGCTTATTGTGTTGGTTTTTCTCTGTGTGTGGTTGTGTTGTATTGAGTTTCTAGTTATGTCTCTTTTTTTCTTTTTCAATATTGCTCAGCGAAATCTTCAAAAAAAGAAAAAAAAAAACTAAAGACATCAAATCTACAAAAATCAAGCTGGGCCAAAAAACAACTTGTTTTAATTTGTCTCGAGCTAAACTTGGACTTCTAACCTAAAAATGTACACCGAAGAGCCTTAACCGAGCCTCTTAAACAAGCATGTTTAGGAGCACTAAATAATATTGTTTACATCATAAATTAATTGAACACTAAATTATTCAAGCTCATTAATTTAACCATAAGTCATTTATAAATATCCTCAAACTCCTTTGATTAGTTAATCAAAACATCAAAAATGAACTTTAACTCATTATTGCTCATCATGTAACCCACCCACAAATTGAATAACAAGCATGTCAAATTAATATTTTGCATAATATTTGTATTTTCATTATTATAAATTGCATTAAAAAAAATAAAAAATATATATATATATATATTTAAAATTTATTGCACGACTCCCTACAAATATGCCCCCATGTCATATCCAAGCATCACAATCATGCTGGCATGATAAGCTTTGCCAATATTATCATTCATTAAACAAATAATAATGCATTTACCCAATTATACATACCAATTAATTATATGTATTTGCATTTTTATATTCATTCCACCAACTCTTTCCTATCACATAAAAATGATATTTTAATTGGCTTTTTTTATTTTAAGAAAATGTAACATGTAAATACATAAGAGGTAAGTGGTACGTATGTAAATATTTCATTTTTTTTTTAAAATAAATGAAAATAAGTTTTAATAATTTGAGTGGGAGCAATTATTGCGTGCGGACACTGCAAGTAGTGTTCGATCAGGTCTACTAAAATACATCTTTTTTTTTTTGTTTTTTTTATTATTAAAGTGGGGCCCACGCTAATTTTTCACTGTGCAATGATTTTTGGGGCGTGAGAGCCAGCGAAGAGGATGATGATTGAGTTGGAAATTGCAGGCGGAGGAGGAATTATTGGGAGATGTAATAATTTTTAGGGTTGGAAATTTCTCAATTCGGCCCACTCATTGCGGGGGTTTGGCAGCCGTTAACCCTCCGTTAGCTTTTTGAAATATATGAAAATCGAATTTTAAATTTTTTTTTTATATATATTTTTATTTTTCTGACTCTTTATTTATTTATTTAACCAATTCTGTGTAGATGTTTAGATGAGTTCAAATTTGGGTGCATGATCTTATGATGAAGTGGGATTCATTGTTTGCAAAAGTAACCAGAGAATTGTTATGAAAATATAATTTTTTTAAAAATATTTTTTATGTGTATTAAAAATGTTAATTGAAGACAAAATAGGGGCCATTTGAATAATTTATAGTGAATTTTTTTAAGAAAATCTGATAATAATAAGGTCCCAGCTCAATTGGTAGAACATTCATTTCGGCAGTGTAAGACCACTCTGGATTGGGTTTCAAAACTCATAGACGAGTTGTTTGCTATATGGGGGTGGTACACTAGTGTTTATGCCCATGGGTCTAACCCATACTTGACGGTTGGTTGTTGGCAGCTTCAGTGTAAGACCCTTGTGTCTGGGGTTTGAATCTCAGCTCTAACGGGCTGTTCGAATTATCACATGGTGAGATGTATGAGACTGGAAGGGGGGTCCACTCCTCAGTTGGTCTTAGCCCACTTTGATATATATATATATATATATATACACACACACACAGATGTGTGCATGAAGTTTCCCTTTGCTTTGCGAGAACAATTTGCGTACATCAAAGAGGTTATTCAAAGGGTATTGGGGGTTATATCAGCGTTATACCCCCTGTAACATACATGTAACCAACTTGTATTTTCTAGTAAGTTCTGCGCTTCTGTTTTCATATATTTGTATGGTACATGTAGGCTAGAGAGTGTATAACGTGAATATAACCCCCGATACTCTCTGAATAACCTTTATGACGAACACAGCGCAGCGTATGTATGAAAATTTTTCTCTTGCTTTAGGAGGCATCTTTTTCCAAGGCATAAACCAAAACCTTTTATCTTGGGCCACAACGCAATCCTACTCTCTGAACAACATAATAATAAATCATAATTTATTAAAAAAATCATGAAATTAAATTACTTAAATGCTAATTTGATTAAACTTCTATATACATCTATAAACAAATACACATGATAATATACTTTAAATATAAATTCCAAATTAATTTTATGTTCATGAAAGCTCCAGCTTGGCAAGTTAATTAGCCAAACATGCATAAAAAGGGAATTTGCATATGTTGCACACAATTCTTACCTATTTACATATCACCCCTAAATTTTCATATTTACACACCACCCAAAAATTTAATTACATTAAAAATAATATTATTACCAATTTTTAAACATCAGATACACACTTTCATCCATGTGATTAAAACTAGGCTTGCTTTTTGTTCACGACAACTCGTGTTCAGCTCGTTCGCTAAAGCTAACGAGCCGAACACGAACACGAACAATTTGTGTTCGGCTCGTTTTGGCTCAAAATACTACTAATCAATTATATATATATCTTTGATGAGTAGCATTTTTAAAAAAAATTAATTGACTACAGGTCTACAGAGATTTATAATTAATTAAATTGAGAAAATAGAATAAAAATGATTAAATTAGACTCAAATGATACTTTAAACATTGCCCCAATCCTTAACATCTTATGGCTACGTGATTAGGGTTGTCAAAACGACTTTTTGTTTGTGAACAACTCGTGTTCGGCTCGCCAAGCAAATGCCGAACACGAGCTAAGTCTGGCTCGCTCATGTTCAGCTCGTTTACACCCCTATTTAAAACACTAAAATGCTAAATATAAAAAATTAGGTGTGAAGAAATGTAAATACGTAAGAATTGCTTGGCAGTAAAGTATGTCATAAATATGTGTAATAAATGACCCATACGATTCCCACTAATCTATATACAATGACGAAATTAATATAAAGCACAACAAAATTCCGTAGTTAAGGTCGATGAATACTTAATTTAACAAGGATTAAATTAACACGCCATCTACATTAGACCTCGATCGATAAAGATTTAGGGGCATTTACATACATACCACCTGATTCCTATGTATTTACATACCTAACAACCAAACATTGGGTTTTTTTTTTTTTTAACATTTATACCACCCAAATCTTTCATGTCACATAAAAACACCACCATTTTAATTTGAAAACAGAAATACACCTTTTTCATTGCATGGATAAAGTGACATGCAGGTAAAAATTGAAGTTTTGAGTGTTACATATGTAAATACATAGGAATTGAGTGGCGTGTATGTAAGTCTTTCAAAACAAAAAGAGTTTTTTTTTACCTATGAGCTGTATGATTCACAAAAACAAGTCAATCTAACCCGACCCTAACCAGTTCGATCGCATCGAATCACTTGCTCAAAAGGCCAACTTTTATCGCGCCTTTGATTGCAAATTGAAGTTGGGATATTTACATACATAACACACAACACTTGAAACACATTTACATATCACACATCTAAACTTTCATATTTACATACATAGCATGTTGGTGCTTTAAATTTATGCAAGAAAATGTGTATTTGTTTAGGATTCTAGCATAAGGTGTGTAAATATGAAAGTTTAGTTGTGAGAAGTGCATATACATAAGAATTGTGTGGTGTGCATGTTAATGCCCAATTGAAATTTCAAGGACACGTGATCGGAAGCTTTTGGTTGTCGCCGTCAAGACGGATTATAAGTCATCGTCGCGTATAAATACCAAGAGCGAATATTTAACCTTTAGAGAGATCTTCCCACCCTCCACACACAACTTAGCACCACTCACCACCCAATAACCCGGAAGATCGTCTGGGCCTCTAGATATCTCAGATGTGTCGACAAACCGGGCGAGTTTCGGAACTCTGACCGGCGTTGGCGGCCCGCCGGGAAAGACGGCAGAGTTCACTTCAACCTTTGGCTTCGGGGTCGGTAAGATCCCCATGCTAAACCTTGAGCTGATAAAAGCTGAGATCGAACCTGATTTCCTCGAGATGCTGCTCGGGCCGTCCCATTCAGAACGGCGAAGTCTCATCGAAGCGACGTGGGAGAAGCCGAGACGAAGAAAGAGCACTCTCCTGAAGCCCATCTCCTTCACCTCGAGCCAGGCTTTGGTGACGATGGAGGCCGATTCGTCTAAGTGAGCGCCGCTATACTGAACCGGAGCGGTGCAGATATGAGAGAGAAGAGCCCACCTGATTGGTTCAAAATAGGCTCTTTGGTTCGTGTGAAGATCCTCGGTCACGTGAACTTCATCATCATAGAGTTTGAAGATGGTGGGGAGGGCAGAGAGGTGTTGGAGATGAATTGCTAAACGGTCGTTCCGTCGGCCTTCAAGGTAGAGACGGATTCCGGTCACCGGTCGTCTCCCTGAATCTACCTGTGAGAAGTTTAAGAATGAAAATGGCTCATCAAAAGTTAAATTCAGAAGCTTGAAAAGGTTGCATGGTTCCAACTATGAACTGCATCATCTGCATTGAAAAGATTGTGGGATGAAATGATGGACCATTTACATAAATACCGCCCAATTCCGATGTATTTACATATCTAATACCTAA